TATATGGGCACCAATCCTGTCCCCCAGGTACTCCACAACCCATCCAGCTCCCTGTTCGTGGCCTGGAAAGCAGTAGAAGATGGTCCAAAGCATTGGAACCCTATACCAGCGTGAAAGAACAGGAAGAAGCTCCTGGCTCCTGGCTTTGGATCGGCTTAGTTCGGGCCATTGAGGCCACTTGGGGAGTGAACCAGTGGATAGATCTTTTTCTCTGTTTCTCCTTTTCTGTGTAAAATCTGACTTTCCAATAAAAATAAAATACTTAAAAAGAAAACGTTATTGGAAATACACCTAGTTTTCCCCACTAACATGAGTTTTACAACTACATTTGATAAGAACAAAGAGTAAAAGTTATTTCTTAGACCCAGAAGGACTCTGTGAGTTAAACATTAAACACTAGTGAAAACATCTGTCAAATCTTGGCACAGATTTTTCTTCTGTATACTTCATGCACTTTGAACCTTTATGTTTCCTCTGCCCTTTCTATCCAGTTTCTGAAACAGCATCTTTAGAGATGCTTTGTGACAATATTTGAGATTAACTCTGTCCATAAATAGACAAATCAGATACTTTTAAATTTATTTATTTTTATTTGAAAAGCAGATTTTACAGAGAGAGAAAGAGGAACAGAAAGAGAGAGAGAATTTTCCATCTGCTGGTTCACCCCCCAAAAGGCCACAGTGGCCACCGCGAGTTGATTCAAAACCAGGAGGCAGGAGATTCTTCCAGGTAACCAGTGTGGGTTTCAAGGGGCCCAAAGACGTGTGCCATTCTCCACTGCCTTACCAGGCCAGAGGCAGAGAGTTGGCTTGGAAGTAGAGCAGTTGGGACATGAATATGGAATGCTGGCGCTAGCACACTATACCACCACGCTGGCACCAATCTGTTGCTTTTTAAAAGTCTGCAAGTAGCCAACATTTAAGAAGCATGAGAAGAAAGATGGAAAGCTTTAAAAAATTGCTTTTGAAAAGAAGGATGGCTAATTTGAGTGGCTGCTCTGCTCAGTTTCACAGTATTAACATTATTTTCATAGCCGCAGGTCTATAGATTTCAGCAACAGATTCTAAAAATTCAAGTTAATTATTTCCAATTAATATGCACTTTCATCTGTTATCTTGCTTTTATCCAAAAAATATTATAGCGACCAATACTTCTTGGCAAGTGACAGTTTCACGTGATTGTATAAGTTCAAAGATCAGAAAAAAAAATCATCAAGAAGGTGCTAAAGTGCAGTGTCAAGTTGATATGCATATTTCACTTAGCTGCTACTCACCAGGTTAAACTCAGGGAGAATTTCTTAACCCTAAACTTCTTAAATAATATGGGTAAAAGAATTTGGACAGTTTTGGAGATTTTTCAGTTTCAAAGAATTCATCTAAATATGTGTAGGGATATTCAGATATATGAAGAATGTTTTCTTCCAGTTCCCCAAACAATCCCTCAATCCAGTTCATCCTTTAGGAGTCATTCTAAGACTTAGTAGGCAGCAGATTACTTGTACAAATAGCTACTTGTTCTCCCTTCACATTTCATCAAAAAAACTAAAGCTGGAAGTAAACAACAAAACTTAAACACACACACAACTACAGAATGCGGCTGAGGGGTGCAGTGCAAGCATATGGTGGGAGCATCCACGTGGAAGGGGTGCAGCAGACAGACAGTTATTGATACCTCATGCAGGACACGGGTTGTTAAGAGTTCAGACCTGGCACTCAGTCTGAGTGTTGAACCCAGCTCTACCACACTCTTCTGTGTGACTCTGATCTACTTAATTACACCATTTGAGTTTTAACTGCCTTAGTATTAGTTCCTTTTAAGGTTATTGTGAAGAGTGGATTGGTAATTTATGTAAAGCCTGCAGGCCATTGTCTAGCCTGAAATCTGGCACAGCACCATCTAGTATCATAAAAACAGTTACCTAAGATTACACTCAATAATGATGTGTCTCTGCAGGGATGATGTCTGCTTAAGGAAGATGTGTGTCCTAAAGTTATCTTTCAAGGAAAAGTAATCATAGCCAAAATATTTTTTGTAGAAAGTTTTAATAAGCCTTTAAATATGACCCATGTGCTGTGCAAGGGCTTGTTGCAGTGGTACAAGGGCATGTAAGTATAAACAAAATAAATGCAATATTGCCTGTAAAACTATCATAAAAAATGTCAAAGAATATTAATTAATACAGATTCATGTGTCAAATACTGAATGGTCCTCAAAAAATTCATGCAAAATATTAGGTGAACAATTTTATCCCCTAATAAACTTACCTTTGATTTTCAATTTCCATTAACTTTTTGAACTACCCTTGTTTGTTGAATACCTTTACTTCTCCAGCATTTTAAATTCTAATAAACATTAACATTAAAGGAAGGAAGGAAGGAAGGAAGGAAGGAAGGAAGGAAAGAAAGAAAGAAAGAAAGAAAGAAAGAAAAAAGGAAATGAAACCTGTGCACTGCACTGTCATCTCAGTGTTCCTGTAAATTGAAATAAGCCAAGGACATGCTGGAATAACATGTTAGTGTGTTTGGTTAAGCATGAAATGATGCTCATTTAACAGTGGCCATATCATAGGTGTTGAAATAATGAAACTACACGTTAATCAGTTTGAATGTGATCGTCTGCCTCTGCTAGTGACCCAATCCTTGAGGATCAGCCAGGATTGTTATTAGAGCTGTGATAGCCTTCAGTGCTATGCGGGAAGTCACTGGGTGACGCCAGCCCAGCTTCAGAAGTTGACCGCACAGCCTTCCTGTTGTCTTTCAATACTAGGAGAAGCTGGTGCTTGTAACATTGTGGCTGATATCTTTCTTATCGATCAAACGCATCCACTTCCACCACATGTAATTTTGTGGCTTTATTTCCTACAATACTTATTTGCATAAGTTGAATCATTAGATGTGTGGCTGTTAGGAATACCTAGGAAGATACCAACTTCTGTTGGTCCCTTCTGTTCATTCCTAGTTGCTTTTTCTCTCTAAAGAGGCTTATCACTTCTACCCATTGATTCACCAGCCATCTTTTAAAAAAATTCCTTCTAATTTATTAAGGTTATCAAACAGGTAATTAAGGTTTTCTGTATTCACCATATAAAAAGTACGAATGGTCAGAAACCCATAAATCATTTATATTTTTCCACATATGACTTGGCAAACAATTCATAAATTCTTAATGTGTATAACTTTATTCATAAATAGATTACTAAGAATTTTTTCTGGCTTAAAATTATTGTCCATACTGTTTCTGATTTTCTTGTAAAAACCCACTCTCACTGCATCTCCCCCCTCATTCCATACTGCTTCCGCCCCATGACAGAAAGATTTTCAGTATTACCTGAGGAAAAACATCACAACCAATTACATCATTTTTCTTGGTTCCTGCACCTGCCAAGCCTCACTGAGAGACATTCAACCTGTTACCACAATCCATGATCTAATTCAGTGTTTTATTTAGTAAGATGAATACTATTTGCCTAAGACTATAAGCTTATTCTTCTCTAAACAAAATGAAAGGCTAAGAAGCAATAAAATATTATAAAAAGATATTAAAATATTTTAATCGTAAAGCAAAAAAATTCATTGAGGTGCTTGTAGGAACAGAAATAACTATAAAAATGTGCCTTTTAAAATCACTGATGAATGCTTAAGCAGTTTGTACATATAATGAGACAGTAAAGGGCTTCTTTATAATGTAGAATTTTGATACTTTGCATCTAGGTAGAGAATTGTCTTGCTTTTGGGCAACATCATTAAAAGGGTACTTTTTAACGACAAAATGTGGATATCCTTCAGTCTTATCCTTCTGTATTATTATATAAGATCTTCATACATTTGGTATCAACTGTTTCTGACTATGTGTATGTGTGTGATTACATACACATATGTCTTATACACCACGAGGTCTGTGTGTGTCTGCATGTATGTGTGTGTGTTTTAAGTGAACAGATCCAACATAGCTGAGTGGCTCAAAATAGGAAAAATGATGATATGCTTTCTAATCACTAATTTTACCATGTCATATACAGCTTTTCAAAATAATGTTTTGTATATGTTTAAAATCAACTGTGTTAACTAAATATATTTCAATAGTACCCTTAAATGTTTCCTTTATGTAATATTTCCTATGTTACCGTTTCAATCTTAGAAGAACAAGAGTCTTTCTCTAACGTTACATAAGGCTGAGAGCAGACATGAGAGAAAACGCAGTCTATGCCGGGTGAAGGCTGACTGCCACCAAAGCTACCACTTAACACACAAGAAAAAAAATCTAGAGATATTTGAATATTTGAAATTGTACATATTCCAATGTGTTTTAGCTTTCAAGAATGGTAATTTCACTTCAACTCGGGCACACAGATATACCTATCCTAGCATTTAAAAAAAAAGTGTCAAGAAAATCCCCTTAATATTTATTACTCAAAGTTAACATGATCAGCTATACAGAAAAGAAAATCTTTATATCACTATGCATCCTGAAGAACTTCTGCTGCATCTCTATTAAAGCTACTCAGTATCCGCATAGAGAAAGCATAATTTTTAAAAGCAAACCAAGAAAAACATAATAACTGGTCTTCGTCTTTGTTCTATCAAACGTGCATGGAAAGGTATAAATAATGGTTACATCATCAGGTTTTTAACTATCACTAGCTCCAAATATTCCGTTTGTAGCTCAACCAAGAATCCTTTGACCCAGTTTGACAACCGTGAAAACACAAAATAAATGAATGTTAACAATGACAGCTTTAAGAAGCAGTTCAGAACAATACTGCAATGTTGTTACCACTAATACTGGGCTCTACGTTTGGATTCTTAAATCTGAACGATTTGCAGATAATGACCACGTTCATGCCAGCCGCTACTGCAAGTGAGAAAAAGACTGGAAGAGAGGAAAAAATGCCTTCCTTCCAGGAGAGAAACATTCATTAGCCTTACTGGCAAGTGTCTAAAGCAAACAAGGAAACTGCAAAATAACTACTTAGTTACAAATAAACCTTATTAGCACAGTACCTTTTTGTGTCTGTCCCTCTTCCATATTCTCTTCCATGGCTACCTTTCTTCAGGAGAATCTGGTACACGGAATTAATCAAAAGCTCAATTAGATGTTGGAAAAACTGGTGATTTTTTTCCCCTGGGCAGCTCCAACAGCAGTGGCTTGGGCAAGTCCTCAGAGCTCAGCTAAGGCTCCCTCGCTGCTCTTGTTTGCTTGGAGACAGGCTGTCAAGTGTAATTTCATTCAAATTACTCTTCCGTGAAGATTATCAATTTTTCTTCTCAAAGCTGCTCATTGTGCATCACAGTGAGCAGGTATTCAAACAAATAGCTTACGAATTTTGGGGGGAATTTGGTCTGAATTCCAGGAGCAGAGCCACTATGATTCAGAAGCCTTGCTTTTGCATTTTAAATGGGGAAAGAAATTGAGGTTTCTATTGAAATCTGGGCTTTAAATTGGAACCAGGCTGCACTGTGAACAGATGGAGGGGTGTCCTCCTAACATGAGGCAGACCACCAACCCATAATTCCCCCCTTTGAAACCAGAGTGGGAAAGCCCAGATTCCGGTCGTAGCTCTTTATGCAGCAGCAGTTGCTTCTCACCCAGTCAGATACATTGCAAAAATGTGTTTTCTTTTTCTCTCCTCACTATCTAGTTAATTTGATTTAAAGGTGCCAAAAAAGGATGCAATTATACCCTTCCAGGGTTTATCTGTAATAGCCTATTATTAACAGACTTGTAAGCTCACATCTTTAAGAAATAAAAGAAATAGAAGTGTGATTTTCAAAGGAATGTGTATAAACCTTTAAGATACATGCTTTAAGTAAACATTATACTTAATACCCGAGGACTTTACATGAAAAGGAGAAACACAGTGAAAAAATAATCTGTTGATGTAGTTGTGATATAATGTTATGATTTTAGTCCATAAAAGCTGCTGATTCCGAGAAGAAATCTCTTGAAAGAGAATTTTTAGGATCATTATTGGAGAAGGAATAGAGTGTTAAAAGGAAGAAAGGAACTCTAGATAAGGAACAACAGGATCGCAATTTAAAATGGGACTCTCCATTCTGATTTGGAATGCAAATCACAATGCTGCAGTCTGGCAATAAATTAGCATTTGTACTTCAGTCTTCTGAGTGGCAGGGCACAATCAGAGTCTCAATACTTTACAAAAGGTAGAGCAAGAAAATAAACAGTGTCTCTTTGAAGGGGAACACAAACCTTCACTGGAGAATAAAGGAAGCGAAACTCACTGCCTGATTTTATCACCAAATCAGCAAGTGTGCACACAAGCGTACACACACTAACACACACACAACTCTTTATCTGTGAAGAAAAGTGATTCATATTACCATTACCCATTACGTACGTCTCCTGCATTATGGCATGTGTATAACACACCCTTTTGAAAGCCATAGAACGTTGCACCTAACCTCCAAATTATTACAAAAGCAAAGATTTAAAAGAAAGAAAACGATACAAGATTCTACTTTATTTCTCATCAATGAATGATCAGTCATGTAACTTTTGTTACTTTTCTTTGCCAATGAATTTAATCTAAAGATGACTAATTCCAAAAACTCAGACCTTGTCTCTTCTGAATGTACACACATCTGAATTGAAGGGATTTGGATAGAGCTGCTTGCTGAGAGCACAGATTGAGAGGGAAACCATAAGGGAAATCACAGAGCCAAGTGAGAACAGCCTCTGCTTCAACTCAGCCCTGGGCTGACATAACCTGGCTTACAGTCAAACCAAAAAGAGGATCACTCTTCACTTACCTTCTTAACCATTTTTATACCCCCCAAATCAGCAGTGATTACCAGCAGAGACACCATAGACAATCATAATGCCACCTAAATTTCTCAGGGCATTCAACAAACTATAAAACACACTCACATCCATGAGTCCATTTGTAAGACAACAAGAGTATGATTTTCTTCATCTTTTCTTGGGAAAATATGACATCCAGGAACTAGATCTCAAGGCTCAATCAATGAACAGATAATTACGAGAGCCACAGCAGCTGATTCTTAGTCTACTGCTCTGATCATGGAAGTTATTTTTCCTTCCTATTCTACTCCATCATGTGGGTCTTCAGCATCTTCTCAAATCAGCCTCGACTCAGAGCTGTTATTTTCCTACACATATAAAGCAAAATTTAAAAAGGAAAATTTTTTAATTTATTTCCTTTACAAGAATACAAAAACAATAAATCCCTAGAATCTTCAACTTTTTCATCTAAGACAGACATTTTTCTTGAATACCTATTATCAAAGCAACACACTTCCTTATAGCAATCAGCTGTTAGTAAGCCACAACTCATCTCTCTTAGCTTGTGATAAAACATAATCAGATCTACAGTATTAGTCATTTTTAAGTTGACAGTTCTAGAGCACCAAGCACACTCACATTGTTTCAGGACCATTACTGTCATTTAATCTCAGAATATTGCTATCTTCCTAACTGAAGTCCGTATCATTAATCACAAACTCTCCATTGCGCCTCATTTAATGGCAGCTTAGTTTGTTGCTGGGTACCATTGTTAGAATTATTCTAAAGCTTTGACTCATTTGAAGTAACATATCTTGAACAATCACTTGTGTGAAAACTAGGTAGTAAAAATGGTTCACATTGTGGTAGTTAAAATGTTTTAAGTTCTAAGTATGTTATATGTCCCTCTGTAATGACCAACTCTATCTCCATTTGAATCTCCAAATTACAATGACCAGGATATTCATCTAATATTCTTTTATTATATCACTCGGTATTTGCTCCAACTAGTTATTTAAATAAAATATGTCTAACATAAATTCATTTTATTAGTTGAAAGTAAGATAATGTCAAGAATTCCCTTTCAGATATGGTCCAAGACATATTTTAGTATCCATTGCTTTTTCCTGTGTAATTATAAGACGAATTACTCAGTCAATGTAAAGCTATGCTCTTTTCCTTTATTTTAATTAGTTTACTTTAATTTGGAGACAGCACTTGCTTTAAAATTTCATCTTGTATTTATGGATAAACATACATATATGTATGTATACCGAGAAAACATCCATATAGTTCTCTATTACATAAGTCATTTTGTGATGCAATGTTCAAAATACAACAAACAGAAAAAAACAGTAAACAAGAGGTTAATGATTCCAAATGCATTATTAGCTTTACAAGTTATTTTAAAAATTCATTACCTTTTTCTCAGATGACAAAGAAAATCTGGAAGTATGATATAAAAAACATACATACTGTGCAAAAATAGTAGACTGTTAGGAGGTACTTTTCTTCCTCAAATGTTTTACACACAACCTAACACCAACTTAAATATTAAGTAACATATATGATTTGTTACTATGTTTTGAGAAACAAAAAGAAGGCTTTTTGAGGGATGCTTTAAGTTCTAGGTCAAAAATTGAATTCTAGAGGTAGACATGCAACTCAGTGGTTAAGTCAACGCTTGGGACTTCCCTGCTTGGGATTCCATTTTGGAGCAGCTGGTTCTATCCCAATTGCTTTAAATTCTGCTCTAGATTCCTGTGCACCCTGTTAGGCAACAAGTGATGATTCAGTTAATGAATCACACATGTGGATGACTTGAATTGAATTCTGGATTCTTGACTTTGGCCTGGCAGAGGTCTGATGAAGACAGGAGTCAGAAAGTTCATATTGGTCTCTCATTCCGGTGAGAGTTGGGCCATCTACTGCTGCTTTCCCCAGAATTTCAGTAGGGACCAGATTGGAACTGGAGCAGCCAGAACAGGAACAGGCACCCATAAGGAATACAAGCATCACAGGTGTTGGCTTTCCTGGCTACACTACAGCTCGGGGCCCAGGAAAAGAGCCATTTAACTTGACGTGATGAAGTGAGATGGCCTTTCACCCAGAAAAAGGTCAAATTAAGCAGCAAACCAAGGTGGATGGAGGGAAAGAGTCAAACAAGTGTTCTAGACATTTGAACTAGAAAGCATGGAGGCCCATAAGAAGAGATTTTATTCTGACTGCCTGTAGTTAACAGAAATCCTACCATATGGAGGTTAAACCCTCTTTTCCTATTATTCAAGCATTTAATCCCCCAGTTGTTCAGTAGTGTGCTCTGGAAAATCTAATTCTGATGAGTCTTGGGTCCTTAATTTTTCTAGGACAAACTCTCCTGAAATCTAGCCAGTACCTTAGAAGATGAAAGCATTTACTCCAAGATATGGCCCTTCAGAGCTCTTCAGCTCTTTCATAACAAGATTATTTCTTTTATACCTATTAATGTTATATTAATATTTTCATAGCACTAAACCTATCTTCTTCTAATCTCTCAAAGTGTTCAGGCTGTAAATGCTGGGGTTTTTTCTACCTGAATCACTCTTCTCTCCCCTAACTATTGGATTTACTTGCTTACCAGATCTCAGCTTGAATGTGTTCTCCCCAGGCAAAGCATCTTTGATCTAAAGAACAGGTGTCTTTTCAGAACAGTACCAGTAGCATGTCATTACGGAATTACTTTTCAAACTTGACATTTGATAGCAAGCTTCCCCATTGGCCTTCAGCCTGTAGTCCCCATGAGATCTGTTCCATCCACTGCTCCAGAAGCACATACTATTCTTTCAATAGATATTTATTCACTATATGAAGGAATGAAGTAATTTGGTATATTAAAATATAGTTTCTCTTATATCTTAACTTCTTTCATGAAATATTTTGAAATGCAAAGAAAAATTTCACTAGTTCTAGGACATACATGTTATTCTCACATATAACAAATGCCAAACCTGAAGTTACTGACAGAATGATAAAGTATTTCAAGAGCAAACACTCAAAAAAAGGAAAGTTTGAGATATTAATTGTGCGCCATGATTTCTATAACAACAGAAGGCAGTATGATCATAAACACTGTTACACTGTTTATGGGAAGCTGAAACCCAGAAATTCAAAGATGAGATTGTTTAGACAAAATTCCTCCCTTTAATTTACAGGTATTTATACATCAAAACAAGCAAGTGGTGGACAAAAATTCAATGAACTCATGAACAGATTTTGCTTATTTCCAAAATGCCAGAAAACATGAGGAAACTCTCTTCTTGTAATTTGATTTTTTATTGTTTTTTTTTTTTTTATAATACATGGAAGATATCAGAAGAGGTTAAAGCTGTGATTCCAAGGCACAAAAGATAATCAGGAGTGGCTTGTACTTAAACAATCAAAATCCACTGTTACTAATTCAGAAAGAGACAACAGAAAAAATGGCCTAAGTTGGTTCTCTGGAATATCAAATATGCTACTTAAATTGAGCACATGAAACAATAAAATCTATAGCTCATCCCTTCAACTTTTATTTTTGATTATTGTGGGTCACAAACTGGGCTGGGCAGATGCTCCCTGCCCTCACAAACTTAACAGTGTAGTTTAGAGAGAGGGTGGGTGGGGGGGAGCAGTAAGGAGAGAGAAAGAGAAAGAGAATTAATTGGAAGAAAGTACTAAGTAAAATTATGATTAACACACAGTGCTTGGGCACTGTCCTATTGCCATTTGTCTCCTCTTTTTCACAGCAATCCTATCAGGTTATTATTATTATACCCCATCATACTGACATGGAAAAAGGAATGGAAAGGGTAATATTTTTGGATAAAGTTTCAGGATCTTTAAGATAGGACTTAAAGTCTAGACATTATAACTCCAGAGCCTATTCTTTGAAAATTCAGTATCTATATTTACCTAAGCAGGAAGCCTAAGGGCCTTTTATATGACCTGTGAATCACCTCACCAAGTTATATTTCTTCATTAGCACATTAACACTTGCATTTATCAAAAAG